TAGGTGCAATTACGGAAAATGACCTGCTGCCCATTGAAGATAGACGAAAACTAGGTACAGAAGTTTAGACCCTGCAGATCGAAGTGATCGAGGCGGAACGTAAGGAGACAGTAGATCAGAGAGATAAGGAGGAGCAAGGCCATTGAGTGATTTAAAGTAAGCAGAAGAATTTTGTAAGTAATGCGAGATGATACAGGAAGCCAATAGAGTTTAAATAAGATAGGGGTAATATGAGCAGATTGTTTAGTATGGGTTAATATTCTTGCAGCAGTGTTACAGGCCAGTCTTTAAAAATTGGGAAACAAATTAAAATATATATTAAAGCTCCTAATGTATATCATGATAGCCCCATATGTATGAGTCACTCCTTCATTCCCGCTCTTAATGATAAGGTTTTTTCGGTTTGGAAACAGAAGGGAATAGGCTGTGTCGGCTCACTTTATATGAATGGGTATTTCTTGTCTTTTAAAGAGCTCCAATTAAAGTTTGGGTTACCAAATTCGTACTTTTTTAGATGTCTGCAAATTAGAGACTATGTCAGAATTTTTTTTCCTGATTTTGAACAACTAAAAAAGCATGGGAAATTAGAGGAAATAAACCGATTTAAAGCCGGAAACTCAAAAGCAGTATCATATTTCTATACTGTATTAACTGATCTGGTGGATAGTGACACAACTTCAATTAGGAAAGCATGGGAGGAGGATAGTTCAGTGGACAGTAGACATTTGCCCAGTCCGGGGATAGACATGATTGCAGTTGCATATCATGGTACAATTATGTACTGGAAACAGAGATACATAACATAGTATAAGTAACAACAGAAAAAGGATAGTGTCAATAAGTAACAAACAAAGAATAGTAAATGCAACAAAAATACACAGAACGAAAATACTCTTGAGAGAATTACAGCTGGTAGTATAGGATGAGGAGAGTGTCTAAACAACATGTTATGACTGATAGTATTGGGTAAACAAGTAGGTTTTGAGTTGTGATTTAAATACAGAGAGTGAGGTTATTGTCCTTAGTGCCAGTGGTATAGAGTTCCACAGTTTAGGTGCAATTACGGAAAATGACCTGCTGCCCATTGAAGATAGACGAAAACTAGGTACAGAAGTTTAGACCCTGCAGATCGAAGTGATCGAGGCGGAACGTAAGGAGACAGTAGATCAGAGAGATAAGGAGGAGCAAGGCCATTGAGTGATTTAAAGTAAGCAGAAGAATTTTGTAAGTAATGCGAGATGATACAGGAAGCCAATAGAGTTTAAATAAGATAGGGGTAATATGAGCAGATTGTTTAGTATGGGTTAATATTCTTGCAGCAGTGTTACAGGCCAGTCTTTAAAAATTGGGAAACAAATTAAAATATATATTAAAGCTCCTAATGTATATCATGATAGCCCCATATGTATGAGTCACTCCTTCATTCCCGCTCTTAATGATAAGGTTTTTTCGCTTTGGAAACAGAAGGGAATAGGCTGTGTCGGCTCACTTTATATGAATGGGTATTTCTTGTCTTTTAAAGAGCTCCAATTAAAGTTTGGGTTACCAAATTCGTACTTTTTTAGATGTCTGCAAATTAGAGACTATGTCAGAATTTTTTTTCCTGATTTTGAACAACTAAAAAAGCATGGGAAATTAGAGGAAATAAACCGATTTAAAGCCGGAAACTCAAAAGCAGTATCATATTTCTATACTGTATTAACTGATCTGGTGGATAGTGACACAACTTCACTTAGGAAAGCATGGGAGGAGGATTTAGGTTTCACTATTGAGGATGCGCAATGGGAGGAATGCTTACAGAATATACATGATTGTTCAATTAATACTAGACACAACTTAATTCAATTCAAATCTCTACACGGAGTATACATGTGCAAAACTAAATTGCATAAGATTTTCCCTGAAGTGTCACTGGTTTGCAATAAATGCAAGGTTGCGGAGGGTACACTTCTACATTCATTTTGTACATGTTGTAACATTCACAAGTACTGGACTGATGTTTTTGACCTGCTTTCAAAAGTGTATAAAAAAGATATTGTTCCAGATCCAATGATTGCCATTTTTGGGGTGATTTCTGTATCTTCTTTTAGTACATATGAAAGACAGTGTATTTCTTTTTTTATGGTTCTTGCAAAGAGATTGATTCTTCAGAGGTGGAAACTTGACATTGTTCCAACATTCGATGTCTTGCTGAGTGAACTAGTGGGCATTATTCATATTGAGAAGTTACGATTTATTAACAATGATAAGCTAGATATATTTTGGAAAATATGGAAGCCTGTATTAGATCACTTTGGAATGTGATAACTTTATTTATTTACGCTGGTTTTTATATTGCATTGTACCTTTGTAACTCTTAAATTTATTTACCTAAATATTATTATCTTGTTATTGTAGTATTTTTTGTATTTACTTATTTATTTATTTTTTCCTCACACCCTGTTGATGTTATCGATGTGATCTGTTTGGAACTCCTTTATTTTGTGCATCAGAGATGTTTATTTGTAACTACTAGTATACCGTACTATCGTTTTCATTTTGGACCTTTGTTCTGGAAAAACAAATGTCATATTAAAAAGCTAAATAAAGTAAAAATTCTTGCAGCAGAATTGTGAATATATTGTAAACGAGAGATAGAGTACAATGGTAATCCGGCAAAAAGAGCATTACAGTAGTCAAGACGTGATGTAATAAAAGCATGCACTAATGATTCAGCATCTTTTGGAGAAACATAGGATCGAAATTGGGCTAAACGGCGAAGCTGGAAAAATGCAGCTTTGGATAGTTTACTAATGTAAACATCCAGAGTCAGTGAAGGATCAAGAGTTATGCCTAAATTTCTGACAGTAGCAGATGGAAAAATTCTTGTAGCATCAAGGTTGACACTGGGAGCATCTACTATATTTTGTAATTAAAGTAATTAACATTTCTGTTTGGTTCAAATTCAAACTGAGAAAATTAGAATTTAGACAGGAATTAAACTCTTTAACACAGGTAGATAGTGATGTGGTCTGGTGAATAGAATCTGGTCTGCAGGCAGTGTATATCTGACTATCATCAGCATAACAGTGATAATGAAAACCATGACTACGGATAATATGTCCAAGAGGCATGATGTAAGTAATGAATAGTAATGGCCCAAGAACAGATCCCTGGGGAACACCCTGACTGAGTAAAGTAGTGGGAGATTTATAATTATGCATAGTGATGTAGTATTGTCTATCAGTGTGAGATAGGAAGAGAACCAGGATAGTGCAGCACCTGAGACACCTATCTCTGAAAGGTGGGAGCAAGTAATATCTTGTGACAGACAATATCAAATGCTGAGCTGAGGTTGAGCAGCAGGAGAATGGAGAGATTACCTGAGTCACCAGAGAGTAACAAATTGTTGACAACCTTAACTAAAGCCGTTTCAGTGCTGTAATGAGAGCGAAAACCAGATTGAAATGCATCGAACTGGTCGCTGAGAGCTAGAAAAGACTGTAGCTGATTGGCAACAACTTTTTCCATAATTTTCTAAATAAATGATAAATTGGAGGTTGGACGATAGTTGGTGAAATCAGCTGGGTCCAGGTTTGGTTTTAAGAACAGGAGTAACAGCAGCAGTGTTCAGTGAAATTGGAACAGTGGCAGAGATAAATGACATATTTACTAAGTGTGAGATAGGAGCATAAATGACAGAAGTACAGTATTTCAGAAGGAATGTGGGTGCAGGATCTAACTGGCAGGAGGAAGAATTATAGTTCTGTATTATTTCAGCAATTAAGGTTGGAGTTGTCAAGGTAAAATTAATTAACAGTTGAATAGATTGAGCTTGCTCACAAGTAGAAGTGGTTGGTTCAGTGCCAAGAGACCCACATAGAGCGTCCAGTTTTATTTTTAAAAAGTGGCGCAAGAAAGAGCCACTCAAATCATCACATTCATATCGACTGAGACTATGGCTAGGTAGCTGGACTAATTTATTAACCATGCTAAACAGTGTTTTTGGCCTATTGTTAGCTTTATTGATGATGTCGGAAATATAGGAAGAGTGTGCTGCATTCAAGGCAGTTTTATAATGCCTAATATTTTCTGAAAATATTTGAAAAGAATGGTCAAATTTATAACTTAATATTCTAAAATAAGATCTTCTTTATGACGTATGCAGCCTAGAAATGCGACCTCTGGATGATGCAGCCTTCCATTTGAGAAACGGCCCAAATCATGCAATGAAAATGATCCCCCTTACCTGACCCCAGCCCTAAACATACCCATCACTGAGACGTGAGCCAATCAGGTAACTTGTTTGAAAACGACCCTCTGTTTTGGCCTTGCCCAACGATCTGGTAACTCCCATTACTTTCTGGCAGAAACAAATGAATCAGCCGTTTTGAATGAATTGTTTGAATGAATGATTCAATGAATCACTTAAGACAGGGACTTGCCACCAACTACTGGCGGATTTTGTGGAGTCATGTTTATTTATCCTTGACAAGGCCTAAACCAACCAAGGTATCATTGAATTATCTTTATGGATAGGAATCAAATATATATATATATATATATAACTTTGTTCAATATCGCACACCACTAGTGCATTTATCAACTGCAATGTTCTAAAAACCACTGCGAGCAACCAACGTCCTGGCAACTATTTTCAGAAAATATGAAAAACTAGTAATTAGCTGTAATCTGCCTTTATTTAATTTTAATTCAACTTAAATATTGTATGTCTACACTACACCAACAAGTTCTCAACTTTAAAAATGGTTTACTGGAATAAAAAGTTTTACGTTTTCCCCCCTATTATTTGTTGCCCCAAACTGTAGTAATTTGTGACAAACCTTTTCCATCTCAAGTCTGAAAGTGGTGTAAATTTCATTGCTTAACAACCACCTACAGTAGCACTGTCCTGGCAATTTTCTCCAGAACATTTGAAAACCTATTGTTTAGCTGTAATCTGCCTTTTTCACATAATGCTTTGCATTAAATTGTATTAGTCATAGAACTAAATGTCTTTGTGAAAGATAACATTTTATAGGATTGTCAAGAGCAGACATTTATTTGAAGGTACTGAGAAAGTATTACAAATGGGGAAAAAGTCCTTATTACATTCAGGAAGCTAGAAATTCATCCTTATAGTAAACTTTCATAAAGGAACGTGTTCTACGACCAGTCTGTCATCGTCTGTAATAACTTATAAGGCCAATTCACACTGCACAGACAGATGCAGACCAACGACGACCGAGCACAGTAAGCCTACGTCACTTCTCAGACATACCAAGACTCGATAAATGCTGATTCAACATTCAGTTGGCAAAAAACAAGCACAGACCAACACCAACAGATGCTGACAGGAGTAACACACTGATCAGACAAAACCTGGCAAACGTGTCTGTTGCTGTTTATTGGCATCTGCCAGTGCAGTGTGAATTGGCCTTTAAACTCATCAACAACAAGACTTGTCTAAGTACACAAACAAACAGATCTAGAAATGATAAAAAGAAAAACTCCTTTGGTAATGCATTTCGGCTTAGCTTTTATTCGGGCCCTTTGCAGAACCTTTCTTCTTGGCTGGAGCTTGTTTTTTAGGCTGGGCTTTGCCGGCCTTCGCTTTTGCCTCTTGGGATTTTGCGGCTTTAGGTTTTGTCACCGGTGCTTTGGCTTCCTCTGAGGCAGCTGTGGCTTTCTCAACATGCTCCTCTTTGAGGGGTTCTTGTTTGGGCGGCTCTGGTTCAGGTAGCTCAGGTTTAACAGCTTCATCTTTGCTATCTTCTTTCAAGACAGGCTTCGGCTGCTCTTCTTTGAGGGGTTCTTGTCTGGGCGGCTCTGGTTCAGGTAGCTCAGGTTTAACAGCTTTATCTTTGCTGTCTTCTTTCATGACAGACTTTGGCTGAGTGGATTCCTGTTCGATCGTCTCTTCCGCTTTTGTTGCCTCTTCCTGGCTTAGTTCCTCTTTGGCGGACTCTTGTTTTCCTGTCTGTTGTTCAGTGATCTCTGGTTGTAGAGGCTCTTGAAGAAGTTTAGATTCCGTCTCAGGCTTGGAGAGTTTAGGATTTGTGGGTACTGATGGCTTCTCTTCGTTTACTCTAGCAACCTCTGGTTTCTTTTCTTCTGTGGTAGAGGGTTCCTCTTGTGTTGATTCTGGTTTATCCTCTGGTTTGGTGGACTCAAGTTTGGGAGCCTCAGGAATGGCTGGAATCTTTTCTGCCGTCTTCTCTTCCTCACTATCAGATTCTCCAGCATCATCTGTTATGGAACTTACCAAGGAAGCTGCAAACTCCTGCAGACGGATCTGCTCCTCTTGCAACCTCTTCATCTCTGTGGTCAACATTGGGTTGGGAGCCGGCTTAGGAAGTTGGACGAGCTCTGGAAGCTCATCTACTTGGGGCAAGTCCACCACTGGTGCTAAAGTCGCATTTTCTAAGGACCGTATTTCTTTAATTTTGTCATATAAACTTTTTCTTTCATCCTGCAGTGCTTGGCACAGAGTCTCTAGACGGTCGATTTTCAAAGTGAAGAGTTCAAACTCTTTGGCCTTTTCTGATCTCTGTTGGAGTGGAGTTAATCAGTTAGTAAGTGAAAAGCTAATGGTCAAATACTAACAAATTGTGTGTGTAAATTACCTCCTCAATCATTTCAACAAGAGTTTTATTGCAGCTTTCAAACCGTGTCTTCCATATACTTGACTCCTTTTCCAGCTTTTTCATCTTCTTTGTCATCTATTCAAATAAAAACATGATCAGCATATGACTTATATGCTTTAAAATAAACATTTTAACAATAAACATAATAAAGGCATTTAAGTTGTTCACTGCAAAAAAAATAAAATAAATCCTATTCTTAACAAGCAAATATTTATCACTGGTTTTAGGTATAAATGAGTTAAAAAGTGGGAAAATCTGACAAAATACACTTTTAAACTTTTTCTAAAAAAAAGTCTTAATATCTTATGCAGTGTTGCTTCTCAAGTAAATTTATCTTGTAGGATATTTTCACTGGAAAACAACTAAAAAGTTGTAAAAAGAAGACTGTAGAAGATTGTAAAAGTGTGCATAATACAACAAACCCTCTCCATCTCCTGTTTGAAAGTGATGTAGATGTCATTGCTTTTTGCTAGTGTGTTCTGGAACTCATCAAACTTCTGGGAGTACAACACAAGCTGTAAGAAGAGAATTAGAGTTAGCATCATTCAGAGAAAATCATTGTAAATATCGCCTTTTAAAGATTGATAAATTGTGCCGTAAGAAAAACATGCATGATGATGATGATGACATTTGCACTTATCAGCTTGAACTTCCTTTTCAATTATTATATATTGATTGTTTAAATTTATGAAGAATTGATTGATACATTAATGATTGAATGGATAAATAAATAAATACATATTTAAATATTTATTTATTTTTATTCATTCATACATCCATTCATTTACTTATTCATTCATTCTTTTGTTTACATTATGGACCTGATGTGAAAATGAAAGAGTTAATCACTGATTTTGCAGCTGCAATTTACTCAATTCATCTGCAGTTAGTCAACGCAAATGTTCCATTCAAAAACACAGAGCTTTAAATAAGTGAACACATTCTACAATGACTCAGTATGTAATGTGCAAGGCATCACTTATTTTTTTATAATAGCAGCAGTGAAACTCATCCAGGTCATATTTGCTGTTCAGCACTTGTGGCACTTGTGAACTATAATAATTCACTGAAATAATATTTTTCTGTCTGTGTTGTCACAATAGAGCCATGAGAGAGAGGAAGCCTTCATACAGCCATCAACATGATTAACTCAAAGAGCTTCATTATCTTTTTTGTTGATTCAGAGACAGTGAGATGTTGTCACATTCATTTCCTTAAAGAATTAATCAGTATCTAGATGATTTATCTGCTCTAAGACAGAATGATAATATTTCTCAATATGCACCACATTTTTGATGCTTTCATTTCCTTTTTTTTGTAACTAGAAAACCTAAAATTTTGCCTTTTGTGTTCCACTGAACACAGATTTGACAGGTTTGAAACAACATGAGGGTAAGTAAATGAAGACAGAATTTAGGCAAAACTGTAAAACTCTCATGATTGCTTTTCATAAACATCCGTCTGTAATTTATCTATCCATCTCAGCTGAAATATATTCAGGCAGTGCATTTAGTGCAATTGCACCTAATGGCTATGAATCAACACCGTAAATGGCCTTTTAAGGATCAGCGAGAGAAACGCCACAGCTAGAGAGGAGAGAGTGTTGGATTGTGGCTAATGCCACAGCGGTAGATATTCACCTGGGCCTGCATGACAGTGTGCTGCTCTTTCAGCTCTTTAGTCTGTAGTTTCCACTCTGCAGCCTGAGTGAGTAACTGGTTAAACACAAGACACACACACACAAACAGGTGAGAGAGACCGAGAACTCTGCATTACCTGTTTCTTCATCTGTAACTCCTGCTCCCTCATTGCGTAGCATTTCTTTGTTTTTTCAATAGCCTCTTTAAGCAACTAACAACATAAATAGTGAGATGTTAACATGTGCCAATTCTTGAGATTCACTGAAACATTTTTATAAACAGGGTCCAACATGAACTTTTTGCCACTCTTGAGAAAATTTAAGTTAATAATATAGTAATATAGGCTATATATTAAGGGACAAAACAAAGATCCCAGATACATTTTCATTGAAAAAACATGGAAAATGTTCCACTAAGAAAACTTGCAAGTCACAACAGATGTTTTATTTGAATGACACATTCATCGCTTCACTTATCAGGAAATGTCAGATTACCATATCAACTTAATATATTATGTTGCAGTTCTTTATAAAATGACCTTTTACAAGCCAATTATTACTTGCATTTTGCACTTGATGATTGTTCATTTTAGACCCTGCTTGTAAATAAATTCATTGTAAGCACATGTGAATGAATTAACCTGCCCTTCATTTTACTTGAGGCAAATCTGAAGAGCCAGAATAGGAGATCTGTGTGTCTTACATATTCCTTCTCCCTTTTGTGCTTCTCTTCAGCTTGACTGAGGAGCATGTTGGCTTCTTGCAGCTTGGCATCTGACAGTTTCTGCTGTAGATCTCTGTGTTTGAATATCTTCTTTAAACTCTGCATAAAAATACAGGGAAGAATATTTATTCAGGGACGAATATATTTTATTTTATTTTGTTTTATTTTTTTATTTTATTTTATTTTTACAAAGTCGTTTGAACCGTGCTCTTTTGTTACTTAGTGTTTTATTTTGGTGTGCCGATCTATTAGATTACTTAGTATATAAAACCATGATCTGCATTCACAAAAATGTATTATTTTACATTGATCACCAGTAGGACAAAAAAAGTAGACTGTTTTTGTGAGTGCAGATCATGGTTTTATATTTTATTAGATTTTTCCATTGTCCAAACCACTCGTCTTATTTGGGGTCGCAGGGATGCTGTATTTTATTTTTGTAGTTAGTTTTTCCAGCTTTAGTCATTTCTTGGAACAACATTTAACACGGTACAACATTTTAACGTTGAGAATTTGTGTTTGTCTCTCTCCTGATACACCACACAGTGTGATTATTCACAAGCAGAACATGTTCCAGGATCAACATGCTTTGTTGTTCTTGGAACAGCTTTTGTATCAATCGTGCTTTTACACCTAAAATCAGAGGGCGGTGATTGGTCAATAGGGATGTTGTTCCAAGAACATGTTCTTCTTGTGTAAATCACATTAAGCATGATGCATCTCACTCTTATGATGCGTGGCTCTACCGCAGCCAGCAGAAGGCAGTAGAGACACACGACACAATTCAATTTCGAGTCAGTTAAATTCTTGGGGTCTGTTTTAGCCAGCCACCACACAGCTGTGTGTGAGCAGTCTCTGTGGTACCCATCAGCATGACAGATTGAGCTTAACTTCCCCTCACATCAGGCTTGTCATTCCTCATGTGATTAGATAGAGAATACTAGAGTGTTCTACAAGGTGCAATATTCACTGTCAGACCAGGCGTGAATCACTGAGTCAAAGTCCAAAAATACAAGTATCTGCTGTGCATATAGCAGGTTTAGAAAGTGTGAGGGTGTAGTTTCCTCCGCCTCGTGTCGTGAAATTACAGCTCTGGCAGACTTCAGCTCTAAAACACGCATATGTTTTTATGCATAGTGACTGTAAAAATTGCTCATGTAAACTACCAGTCAGAAGTTTGGAATAATTATTTAATGTCTTTGAAATTCTCTTGTGCTCACCAGGGATGCATTTATTTGATCAAAAATACTACAAATATCACAGTTAAAAAACAGTTTTTTGAATTTATTTTTGATAGCAAAGCTGAATTTTCAGCAACCATTACTCTAGTCTTCAGTGTCACATGATCCTCCAGAATGAATTCTATGCTGATAATAATTCTATGCTAATACCTTTAATAACTGATAATAATTGAGCAGCAAATCAGCATATTAGAATGACTTATTTTGTTTGATTTCTTCACTCGTGATGCTATATTCTCAATCATAATCTTTACATTCTTGTTTATAACAGTCATTGTTGACTAAACCTAAAACTATTACAAATATTATTAAAACTATAAAAATATTTCAATTAGTGTTTTCGTTAACTGAAAAAAGCTGAAATAAAGTCAAATATAAATATTCAATGAAAAACCTAAACAAAATACACAAAAATTATGGCAAAACAAAACTAAAATAAAAATACATTAAAGGTAGAGAGAAATATTTAAAAATAATAAAAATACAAAAGCACGTAATAAAATTACTTGAACCAAATTAGCATCTTAGAATGATTTCATCATGTGACACTGATAATGGAGTAATGCTGAAAATTTAGCTTTGCCATCACATGAATACATGACATTTGATTTAAAATATATATATATATATTCAAATAGAAACCAGTTATTATAAATTGTAATAATATTTCACAAAATTAATTTTTTTACTGTATTTTTAATCAAATAAATGCACCTTTGGTGAGTATAAGAGACTCATGACATATGACATTTAAAGAAATCGTAAATATTCAGAACTTTTGACGGCTGTAGTTGCAGAGTTTAAAATAAGTTTTGAACCCCAATAATGGCTCATTAAATTTTTCTGCTGGACCAGAACAAAAAAATCCAATCAGATGCATTATCAAATGTATCACAATCATTTATGGTGCACACTTACTTGTACCAAAATCTAATCTCGACTGTGCCTTGGGGTGCAGCTTTAAACTGATTTATGACTGAATCGCTTTGACAGATGTGTTAGATATTGTGGTGTTTGAAATCCTCAATTCATTGTGCTGGCTTTCGCTGCACAGGTCTTCGGTCTGCTTCACACCACAAGCACATATTTATTTTAGGGCCCATATTAACAGGTTACAGTCTTCACACTGCCCACATAAACAGCACAGTGCTGTGCAACTGAAAATAGAGTTCTGTTGCAGCAGAAGCACTGTGAACGGTGGGCCTGCTGGAGCTCTGCTTATGTGTGGATTTAATGCATTTCAAATCTAGATATTATGTTAATGTGTGTGAATTTCCGTCAGTACCTCTTCTCTCCGCTCATACTGCTCTATGATGGTCTTGAGTTTGCTGGCCAGATCACTGTTCTCTTGGCACAGCTTGTTGTTGCGGTTACTGTGCTGCTCGATCTGATTCTGAATGTCCACTAGCGTACTCTGGAAATGAGCAGAGATCTCCTTCCGCTTCATTTCATCCTCCTGCAGCCTCTGCAGACTCTCCTCCTGCAGGGAGAAAGAGAAGGAAACGTGTGGGAAATCTGGGAATATGCAGCCTTAAGTGATGAAAGCAATCTAGATCTAGTACTACGTGAGACGGAACTGTGATTAGATTGTCAAAGTCAAATAATGTATTGTGTTTGATAGCATTTTGTGGTAGAAATGACAGTGAAGGAAATGATATTTTAAACATTTGTGGAATAAAATGGCCAACTCTTACTAAAGCTGATTTCATAGTTTGCATTTTATATGGCATAAAATCCAAACAATTAAACAATATTTTGTATTTGACATCTTGATTTATCACAATTGATATTCACCTTGATTATTTTTCGTTTGTTGCTTCATTCATGACATATTTAATAAGAATAATAATCATATAATATGTTCATAATATTTCATATTTTATTTCAGTCATGCTCCTCACTTAAAGTGTTGTCTTGCTGATAACAGTGGTGTCATTGTTAACTAACACAAAAACGATTTAAAAAATGTTAATTAAAATAAATCTGAAATCAATCAAATATAAATATTAGATGAAAACCTCAACTTAAAAACACTCAAAAATGAGAAATTTGAATTTTCAACTAACTGAACTAAACTGAGGTGTACTAAAATAACTAAAACCAATAGATTATGACCAATAAATCTGACAAAAGCACATTACTAAACTTAACTAAATGACTAAACCTGAACTTAACTACTTAAACTAAAATTAAAACGAACAAATTCAAAATATATTAGTCAACACTACAGTAGTATAAAGATAATACTAAAATAACACTGGTTGACATGTACACTTTTTTTAATTAAATTTTGTGGCAAAATTAAATAGTAAAACTAATGGACATGTTACAAATTAATATAAATGTACATTTTCATTATTTATTGTGTAAAAAGTATTGAACAATTCATAAGAGTTTACGCTTTATAATAGTTTTTACTTCATATAAAACATTAAAATGCATTATTTTTAATAAAAGTAATATATATAAGTTATAATTAAGGGACAACCTTTTGGAAGGGGCTTTTATTTTATAGATATAGTAGAGAGTCACAAGAAATATAAAGGATAGAAGGAATGGACATTTTATAGACCCGACTTGAACCTGAGTGGCCCACATGAGCACCATAGTGCAACATGTCCAAAGCACTAACCGCTACTTTAACTGCATTATTTCGACCTTACAAGGTCTGAATAGTGAAGGCTAGTTTATGATCCTATTAATCAAATGTTGTTAATGACGTATTAAGCTCTATGAGATCTATATTTGTTGCACTAATAAACAATATTATCCTTTTTTAGTATCTGGGATCGGATGTGTGAATGCTAAACAGTCCTGCCATCCAATGTGTGCGCTTTGTAAGCATGAGCTCCTGTTTCAGAGGCGCCAGCTTCCTGACTCAGCTAATTGTAAGGAACCCAAGCATGGAGTGTTCCTCTCCAGGGCTGAATCTGTTTGCTTGCCTGTGTTTACACATGGCATGAATCTCAAGCTCCCACCCCGGGAAAGGTGAAGCTGTATTACCACTACGCAAGCTCATCACTCATATAAGCGCAAAGGAAATGACCCCAGATTAAATCTAATTTACCGTCCTCATAGCTGAGCCTCGCACCTACACACAGGGCTTAGATGTTCTGCTCTGACCTGCTCATTAATGGCTTCCATAATACTTGAATTAAATTGATTGGGGAGTGAACAAGGTCAAAGCCAGCCTCTAGGGAAGGATAGCATCAACTTCCAAAGACATGCAGAGTTCATATTGGAGCAAGAGTTTAATACCTTCAATGCCCGGAGGAGAAAAAGCAACACAAACGTGATTAGAAAGCTCCTCAAAAACAGAAAAAAAGTGTGTGTGTTAGCATGCTGGGACAGAAACCGCTACCTACAAAGTCATCCAGCACCTGTTCAGCGAATAGTACAAATGGACCGAAATCAGTCGCTGAGAAAATGGCTCCAGGTGCTTTGCACAAGATTCATAACATCTTTCATATTATGTACACATTCACCGAATGGAGGTGAAATTGTCTCTTGGAAGGCAACATAATTGTTTGGCAGAGTGAAAGAAATGAGTGGACTGCTATATCCGACAACTGGAAACATTTCAAGTGCTGAATAAGTGATGTAAAATGACAAATATGGCAGCTCAGTTGAGAGAGGCATTCACAAATTAGGGTGCCGTTTAAGTGCATCAGAAACATACAGCACGACCAGTGAAGTCCGATTCCCTTGTTAATGATTCTTATGAGTCGGTTCTTTTTATTGAATCAAACACATGTGACTAGTGAAGGTAGTGATGGGAAAAATGAAGCTTTTTGAAACCCTGAATGAATCATTCGCTTTGCTTTTTAAACACTATTCAATATGACATTCCATCAAATTTGTGTTATTTTTTTTATTAATGTGTAATGCTTGTGTGTTATTGGGCTGGGCTTGGAAAACTATTCAATATTTTTTTTTAAGTGAAGTGACATGTGGCCAAGTATGGTGACCCATACTTGGAATTAGTGCTCTGCATTTAACCCATCCAAAGTGCACACACACACCGTGAACACACACCCGGAGCAGTGGGCAGCCATTTATGCTGCGGCGCCCGGGGAGCAGTTGGGGGCTCGGTGCCTTGCTCAAGGGCACCTCAGTCGTGGTATTGAAGGTGGGAGAGAGTGCTGTACATTCACTCCCCCCACCTACAATCCCTGCCGGTACGAGACTCGAACTTGAACCCGGTTATGAGTCCGACTCTCTAACCATTAGGCCACGACTTCCCCCATTTGTTTGATTGTCCTCCCTTTTGTATTACACACACATGTTAAAATTCATTTAATTTATTAAGAATTAACCTACATTTTAAAACTGATCTTTGGTTCATGACATAGTGTCAAACCATAGGAATTTCGAAATGTTTCGAAACCAAGGCTTGAAATCGGCATAGATTGCTTTTTAAAACATATCCTTCTTATTTGTAATGAGAGTTTATACACTGTTTATAAAAATGTAAGCTATTTTTGAAGAAACATTACCTTTATGATGTAATATATAAAGATAATTATTTTTCTAATGCAAACTTGATCATTTTGTGTTCTTATTTTTATGTTTTTATAAAAAATATTTGGCATAAGAACACAAAATATTCATGGCACTATTTTGTGGTGTCTAGATAGGCTACACAATAAAATTAGTTGTTTTCAGTCGTTCACATGATCTCAATATGTGATCTCAACTGCTAAATGTAAAATAAAACAGCTTGTAAGTGTAATAATCTCATCATAACTGTACTATGAATTTCTTTATATGTGTAAATCGTTTTAAGGAGTTGCCTAGTTAAATCCATTATGCAGATTTCACCTCAAAATTAGCACAGAAAATATGGAAACCTCTGCAGATTCTATCTGGGATGTAGATGTAGTCGCTGTAGCATCAACAGAATGGAAGTACAGGAGGCCACGGCCTCTGCAGTGATTTGAGCCAGCGAGATATTCTTTTTGACTTTTGATTTATAAAAGAAGGGCAAATGCCACTGAAGCTCGGTAACACTATCCCTCTTGTCATAGTGACCTGTCAGCAGCACTTTGAGTCTGAGAAGTCAGTGTCTCATCGAGGCAGAGACACAGAGTCACTGCAGAAACGTCCCACTGGGCTCAAAAACGCCGTCTCCTCAGAAGGAAGTTGGATCGACTCAATCTCAGCAATCAAAACATTGACACGAGTAACAGGATAACAGGAAATACTCTCCCACATGTCAAACAAGAAGTTGTTATAAGGTCTGTTATTATGGTCCTACTGTATCTGTTTCAGATAAATGTACCCCTTAATGGCACATAAAAACAAAACATTGATCGCTGTTCGTGTCAGTCAGACTGCTTTTCTTTATAAGTGGTTCTTATTTCAGTTTTATCAGTATTTCAAGTAAGTATGTGATCTGTTAGACTTTTTTTTTAGTTTAGTGATAGAAAAATGGCAACATCCCCCATAAATTCAGTAAATGCAAGTATGAGACAACTGAATTAAGAGTATTATTTTAGCAAAAATGCAACAGTGTGCTTTTGTGGTCAACTAATTAGTTTTTTTTTCTAAAATTAAAAATATTCTAAAAATATAAACAAATTAAAATGATAAATGTATATATATATATGTATATATATATATATATATATATATATATATATATAATTTTATTTAAAAAACTACCACTTTTTAAAGAGTATTTAATTATGCAGCTGTGAGTTTTTTAATGAAAATGTTGTTGCAGTTTAGCATTTGTATTTGTGTTAACATAGACTACTGTTCAAATGTGAGATTTTTAAATGTTTTTAAAGAAGTCTCTTATGCTTTCAAAGGCTACATTTGTTTGATTAAAAATACAGTAAAAACAATAAAATTGTGAAATATTATTCCAATTTTAAAATGTTTCAGTATCAATTAAATATTCTGATTTGTCGCTCATCAAACATTTCTTATTACTTTCAGTGTTGAAATTATAATTTTTTTTGTGGAAGACATACTTCTTTTTTTTTCCCCGAGATTTTTGGATGAATAGAAACTTAAAAAGAACAGCTGACCCCAACTGACCCCAAACATTTAAATGGCATAAGAAAATAGGCATGTTTATTTAAAAAAACCCCACATGAATTCAGACAAAATAAATAATGTATCATAAATATACATCCCCCCCCCAAAAAAAATAAATCTACCAAGTAATATCATAGCTTAACTTTTCTTTCTCAATCTCTTAAACTGTCAGTAGACAATGTTCTCACCTTCAGTGTCCTGTTATGTCTCTGAAGCTCCCTGCAGAGCATCTCCAGCTTGCTGCGGGCCAGGATGGCACGACTGTGCTCGAACTGAAGCTGATCTCTCTGCTTGACCAGAAGACCCTGTCTCTGCTGAAGCTGCTCCAGCTGTTTCTTCTCAGTCCTGCGGTCCTCCACCTGCCCCATATGTACAAAACACACACAGGTGTGATCCATACATCATCTCATACGCCGCTTTAACACCTCTGGCTGGTCTTAAGCTGCTTTAGATAATGTCTGTCTGTCTGCTTGTTCAGACGTCATCGAGAGGATTTTGGAATGACAGACTTTTCCAGTTTTCCACATTAACACAGAGCCCTTAGATTGTATATATCTGAGAACAAAATCCGATTTTGTCTGATTTTCATAGTCTTCTGTCATATGTTCTTCTCTACATGTCCCTGTCGTTATCTCTGTGTTTTGAAATTGAAGAGAGTGTTGTGGCTATCTTGTGTGGCATACGGCCTTGTGTTCAGACTCGCTTATTCAGCCCAGGGCGTCGAATATTTAGGTCATCGCAGTATCAGTGAAACCACTCTTAACATCACACCAGGCGTTCTTTTATTTTCTCTCCGTGTCAATCCGGTTTGTGTTCTATTTATTTCCTCTTAACTGTCCTCCATGCATTGTTGTTGCCGGCGGTGAAAACTGTTCAGAGAGCGGCGTTCTCTCATGGGTCTGGATACTCACCAGCTCAGTGTATTTCTTCAACACCATTTCCACTTTCTCTTCTGGTGAGCCGAGCTTGTTCAGGCTTTGCAATAAGGATGCGGCCTCTTTACCTACGAGACAAGCGTTTTCCGTTCAGATCAGAGAATGAAAAGATAAAGAAGATGAGCAGAAGCCCACAAGGGAGAGTTCTGCACGCAAGCTTCAAAACAAATCAACGGGAGAAGTGGTGGAATCACAGCATGATAGCGTTTACTAGGATAAAATGGTTGAGAGAAGCAAACAAGGCACAAGACATATACTCAGCCTTAAGGGGATAGTTCATCCAGAAATGAATCTCTGTCATTATTTATTCACCCGCTTGTCATTCAAAACCTTACGGTTGTCTTTTTTCTATATAAATCTCCCCCCAAAAAATCTTCAAAAACACTGTCAAAGTGGTTCGTAACATTTTTGTGCTGTATTCCAAGTCTTCAGAAGTCTTAAGACAGCTTTGTGTAAGGAACAAACTGAAAAGTTTGAATGAGTTCACAAAATCAGACTGGTCCAGTTTTTCAGTTCAGCTCATAGACTCATTGAGTAATTTGGTTGCAGTGGCCACCAGCCCAATTTATCTGTGACTATTCTTACACAAAGCTATTTATATGACATCAGAAGACTTGAACTATTGTGCATGAGTCACATGGACCACTTTTATGATATTTCATGATTCATTTATGTGAATTTTTTTTTTTTACATGTATGTGTGCTTTTTGAATCTTAAAAGCTCCAACAGCTGTTCATTGTAATTACATTCAAATGCGTGACCAGTACATTATTCATATTTTCTCTTTCTGTGTTCCACAGAGGAAAGTCATACAGGTTCGCAACAACATGAGCAAGTAAATGATGACAGAATTTTCATTCCTGTGTAAAAATTTCCTTTAAGCCCAGAGTGTGTCAGAAAACTAAGTCAAGCACTAGAGCTGTCTGCATTTGGTGATGATGAAGTGGGCTTTAGTATTGACGTGAGCATTCTTTCCTTGAGAATGGAAATATTCCAAACAGTTGATTACTACACTCATAGCACTCGACCATCCTGCTGATAGAAAAACCCAATCACTGTTTATGACTCTCCATCTGTGCGATTGAGAGGTGCTACATACGGCATTATTTTTCAAACATAAAACAGCAATCCGTTTTCTCACTGAAATCTCTGCTCTGTGGGTCATTTAACAAAATGAATGCCATTTGTGTCACTCAATCATACATTACTGTTGAAATGTTTGGGTTAAGGAAGATTTTTTTGTTCAAAAGAAATTCATACTGTTGTTTATTTATAGGATGCATTAAACTGATCAAATATGACAATGTTACAACAAAATCTATTTCAAATTATTAATGCTTTTCTTTTAAACTTTCCATTTATCGAAGAATTCAAAAAATTATGTACTGTATATATCGTTATATATCATGGTAATATTTCCACAAAAATACTAAGCAGCACAGTTGTTTTGGACATTGATAATAACAAATGTTTCTAAAGCACCGAATTAGCAGATTATAAAGATTTCTGAAGGATCATGTGACAATAAAGCTTGGTGTAATGGCAGCTGAAAATTCAGCTTTGAATCACAGTAATGCATTCTGCAATATATTAAAACAGAAAACAGTTATTTTAAATGACTGTTTGTTTTACTATATTAAAGCAGCACTATGTAACTTTTGGCGCTCTAGCGGTTAATAAACAGAACTGCACACATCCCGCGGAAGAACATTCCAACCGGAGCTACTTCTCTAAGTTTATATCTATGGCGATTCACGCAGGTATGTGTTACTCCGCAGCGGTGACGACCCGACCAAGCTACAATAGTCCAAATAAAAGTACTTATTATAAGTGTACCGTAGTGATTCGGAATAAGACAAAAAGCGCGGTTTGGAAGATGAATTCATGATGTACTCGCTCATTATATACATTTGGCAAATTTTGAACATAGAAAAATTTACATAGTGTTGCTTTAACTTGACACGGCACATTGCAATTTTTATTATTTATGTGGTTGTCAAATTTAAAATGGCATCTATTTCATAGAATGACCCATATAATTTCTTGACCAATTATTGACTGATTTGGCCATTCTCAAAATTCTCTTTGTGGGGTTTAGTCTTTTAGTTTGTCTGTTTAATCTCAAGACATTTACACTGTTTATCAAACGAACAGAAGAAAGGCCAGTTGCTCACCCAGGCCCTTGAGAATTTTCTTATCAGCTATCTGCTCCTTCTCTGGAGTGGCACCAGCTTCTTGTGGGTCGGCCTCTTTATCAGCCTTTGCCTCCTCTTCCTTTATCTCCTCAGACTCCAGGATGGAGATCTGCTCCTGCATCAGGCTGGATGCTGCTCCATACGTGTTGATTATATCCTCTAGCTGCCTGCTGAAGTCCTCCATGGGGTCCACTGGCTGCTCCTCTGGGACATTGACTTGTTCATTGGCGTTCTCAGAGGTCTGGTGACTGCCTTCCATCATCTGCTGCAAAAATCAAGTTAACTATATCACAAAAGTGCTTCAGAAGAAAGCAGATTTATTAGCAGAGGTAGAACAGCCAATTCCTTGATTACACTCTTGGCTTGACGCTGAAATGAGACTGTCGAAATTAATGAGAAGTGATTATGCATTACTTGTAGAGAGGTTTGATACGACTCTCTGAAATCACCAGCCACTAAACTGAAGATGAATGGCTTTTGGCCAGTTTGTGGTATGTTTGCATAAATAGAGGGAATTTATGTTTGAAATGCATGAGGTTGTTTGAAATGTGAATTCAAATTTGGGGAAATGATTAATGGATTTGCCTCAGGCAGAAACAATATGGATAATAATGAAGTGACCTTGAAAAATAAATATTTGCAGAAACTTAAAACTGGAAATTGGAATGTGAAGTGATTTGTCTACATATACAATAACAATGGGAAATTTAATTAGTTCTATCTATTTGTCTTGTTTCTGTACTGATACTGTTTTGTACTGATATTTTATTAATAATTATATATATATA